CCCCAAAACCCCAAAACCCCAAAACCCCAAAACCCCAATGATTATATTAAATATTGAATATTAGATATGCCAGAAGGATCAACATGAGTAATGCCCTTTGTTGTTATCAACCTCGGTGCAGAAATGGTCTTCATCCTTGACCAACGTCTTAGAGCTCAAAATGTGGGGAAAGAAAAGTCCCAAAAAGTTCTTCAAGAGATTTTGAAATTCATGTTTAACAAATCTTTCCTTGAAGAATTATTTAAACCTCAGGATAGGCACAGTTATAATGCAACAAAACATTTGTTTACCAAGCTAGCCCACTCTTCAGTAATGAAATTGAACGAAAACAGTATGAGCAAGCTATTTGATCTAATGGTAATGGGAGTGAAGTTTCAGATTGTATCCACAACTATTCCAGAAGAACTCTATCACCTCACTTTGAGACACCTCCAAGAGGTTGAAGACTTAGTAACTACTACTTCAGCTGTTGAGTACGTTGAAGAATGTAGAAATTGGTTTATTAATATGTGTAAAGGATTTACTGCCTACGATTTTCAAATGATCAAGCAGCTTTTATTGAGCTTTTTCCAAGAGAAACATGTTAAAGTCTCTCTGTTTATTCAAGAGAAAATTCAATCTCTTGATGGAACTTTGAATATTTTCTATACTGGGATCGGACCAATCTTCTCTCAGAAGCCTGGGACAATAACTTACTATGATGCTGATGGGAAGGTAAGAGATACAGATGAAGTCACATTAAATTCAAATGAGAACTATGAACCAAACCCATTTTCTAAGAGACTTGAAGGAGCTACCGATGGAAACCTCGGCCTAAACATGTATGCTGAGGAAAGAAAACCTCTTTGCTCAAGACCAAAACCACAGGATGATGGGCCAATTAATAAATCCCAAAAGCCAACAATGAAGAAGAAGGTAAAGGAGGATAAAAAGGAGGAGGAGAAGGACCTATCCACTCAAGAATACTCCTTCATAAAATCCATGATTAGAGGAGCTGGTGATGAAAAAGAAAAGATTCCAATCACATTTGATAGTACTGCCAAGGCAGCTAAAGGATCATCTGGGGAAGATGTTGACCAAAATATTATAGAAATAGACACAGGCAAAGATAACCTGAAAAAGAAAGAAACAATGATGAAAGATTTCGATGATATGGACCTTAATCCACCTGCAGAAGCTGATGACGGAGATGACCTGCTAGATTTAATGGACTCATAAAATTAAAAAGAGTATTTCAATCATGATGAGGAAGTTAGGGGTTTTGGGGTTTTGGGGTTTTGGGGTTTTGGGGTTTTGGGG